AAGGTGCTACGGACGGTTAACCCTTTTAGCCCCGAAAGTTAGTTATTCTGCATCCTACAGAATTTTATTTACGCTTGGGCAAAGTACTATTCGAAACGGCAGGATTATTTCCTGCTATAAAACCCAACACTATAGAAAAACAGTACGTTTAGAAAAAAAAATCATGTTTGGCAGAAAAACGACATTTTCTAGAAAACACCTGGGGGTCATACTGGTTAGGATTGGCACGTAAACGATATGCACACACGTCACACAACTGATTTTTCGTACCGGAAGCGCACGGTGCCCCCCCCCCCCCCCCCCCCCCCCTCTAAAAATAACATCCTCTCATATCTGCTAAAGTGTCACGACCGATGGGGCTTCACAGGATCTGGGCGATCTCACGGATCAAATGAGAGAAGAAAGAAATAGCGAGCTCAACGCGTACACATCTGAGAATGTAATCGAACTGTGCACTCGCTACTTCCTTCCTACTCATCATCTCCGTCTTCATCTTGCTCCTCAGAATCATTGCCGTCATCTTCGGATGCCCGTTTTCGCTTGCCTTGGCGAATCGAATCTTTTTTAGGTGGGGAGGAATTGTCTTTCCATCATTCCAGAGGTCATGCTAAAATTGGGCGCAGGTAAGCGTGTTGCCAGCCTCCACACGGCAAACTTGCCTGCAAAGAGGGACACGGCCGCCATGATAGTCACCACACGCTCGACAGAATAGCTCGTCTCAGGCCAAGATAAGTACTTCTCTGTCCGGCGAATTTATACAAATTTGTTTTTTTTGTACTCCACTCAAATGTTACATGCTTTTCATTGGCTAAAAATATTCTGCTCTGAATGACTGGTAGACGGCAGCAATTAGTGGCTCGTGGGCAAATGGCACTGGATTCACTTTTGTGCAGCCCGCGGACAAGATGCCTCGAACTCCAGAAAGCGCGACGTAACTCCGCAGAAACGGGTGGTCATTGGTCTGTACCTCGCCGGACTCAGCGAGAACAGCCGGCTCCCTCGCGGCAGCAAGAAGCTCGCCATGCAGACCTTCAAGACCAGCCGGGGCTCCGTCGACAGCATCTGGAGGCTGCGACGGAAGTAAGACGCAGCTTAAAATATAGCCTTAAATTTTAAACTGAAGAGATTGGATAAAAACAAGGAAGGGGAAGATGAGCATTCATATCAGCCGAGTGAAACCTCGGTTTTCAAACGGCAATTCCACAGTACGTAGGCGCGTTGTTTAGATGTAGCAAGGGATGGGAAGGTGCACAAATTGCTGACGATACCGTAATAATGTTTTGATATAATATCGCTATCTCCACGCACAGTTACGAAAAAAGGCTTTGACACAATGAAAACCAGATGATTCTTGCGCAGTTATTTACGCACTGGATGAAGTTAACGAACAGCAAAAAAAATACGTGGAAATTTGCCTTGATCTGCTCTTTAATTTCGACTGGTCTGTGGCCGACAACTACAAAAACTGACAAACTAATCGAGCAAGGGGTGATATTCGTATAAATTCGCCGGACAGAGAAGTATGTTAACCCCTTGAAACCGGCAGCCTGTATAATACAGGTTCAAAAAAAAGCTTAACCTGTATTATACAGGTTAAGCTTCTTTGACTTGGAGTTTGTATGAACCATAACAAAAACAATACATCCTTTGGAAAAGTGGGACTCCCTCGTACAGGCGCGTGCAATCGGGACAAGCGCGTGCAGTACTAGATACCAGAGGTATGGTGCAGTGTTTGCACATCAGCATTCGTTTTGGACAGGCAAACTGGCGCCAGCCACTCAATCCCCCCATTTCGGAAAGCGCCGCCGTGGGGAGAGAATGTCGTTTACCGGCGTGTGGAGAACGCTGACAAAGCAAGGCTGGACGTCGAAGAAATCTGTGGGGCTCTCCGACAATGCATTCTACATCCGCCCAGGGAAGTCGGTGAAGGGCGTGCGGGGAGAGGACTACTTCGTTGGAACGCAGGAGCTCTTTGACTACTTGGACAAGCTCGCTGCTGGTGCGTCCCCCTGATTTGTTTGGAGTTTGGCAGCTGTCTAACTTGTGTCTTGGTGTAGGAGGTGCTGAGGACTCTGTTCATGAAGACGCTGGACCTGGCGACCCAGCGAGGACTACTGGTACGCCGAATTCCTGGTAAATCTGTATTATACATGCCTTGCATGGATGCTAACCTGTATGATACTGGTGATTACACAGCCAATCCTCCGAGGACGCGCAGCAAACGCAAGAAAACAACAACTGCAACGGATGAGCCCAGAGCAGATGGCAAGGAGCGCCAACCTGTTGCCCCACCAGGTACATTATCTGGCAAACCTGTATTATACCTGGCGGTTTTGGGTGCTAACCTGTACGATACTGGTGACTACGCAGAACATCACTCGAAGCAACCAGGCCACCCTCCGAGAACGCGTGGCAAACGCAAGAGGACAGCGACTGCTGTGGATGAGCCCCCTCCTGAGCACGAGGACCAGCAACCTGACACACCCGGCGGCCAGCCAGTTCAAGCTCTTGAGGCGATGTCGCCCCATGACATGAGCGGGCCCGTTGATTCAAATGCACAGAGCTCAAGCTCAGACGGTCTGTTCTCGAGTTCTAGTGAGATATTTCTGACGGTGGCTAACGTACTGTGTGATACCAATACTGTAGACGATGCGCCTAGTCGACGAAGTTTAGCCGCTGCATTTGAAAGTGTTGAAAGCACTGACCAAGCAAGCGCAGACCTCCATCAGAGCGATGAAGAAACCAAGGAAGACGAGGTTGTCGACGACATGCTTGGTGCGTTATCCTGTCAATACAGGTTTGCATTCCATTGTATACAGGTTAGAGAACCTAACGTGTATCGCTAATATGTACTGTAGATGCAAACATATATCGCTCAGGTGAAAACCCATCCGAATACGTCGCATTGGAGTCCGATGTTGAGAATGATGATGGTGCTTCGCTAAATGGAGATGAAGGCGATGATGAATCACATATGTCTGACGATGATTTGCCGTTGTGGCCTGATATGCCGTCGTTCCGAATGCATCCCCATCTCATCGAGGCGTGTGGAGGCCAGGCACGTATCGAAGATGGAAGTGTGCGTGAAGAGTTTCTGCGGGGTCTGGAGAGCATGGACAGTAACGGATGGAGTAAACCAGCAACCCATGAACCGTATGACTACATGATGCAGCCGTATGAGGAAAGACCCGCAGATGCAATGAAAGAAGACTACCCTTATCTCTACTCGGGAACGTCTGGACCTACTAGGCAAGCGCTGAAGGCGGCAGCAACTGCGTCCGGTGCCTTCTTCTTCTTTGCTGAACCTGAACTTTGGGAATCCATTGCTGATACGAGCAACGATTACTTTGCTGAGAAGATTGACGAACGTGTGAATGGGCTCCACTTGAAGCAGCTAGCGCGTGCTCAGAAGCATGCTGGTTTCAAGCCCAAGTCACTCGAAAAGTTGCGTCAAGATATGGAGGAAATGGAAGCAATAAGTGGTCGGGAACTGTGCATTTTTATTGGTTTGTTGGTTGCACGAACTGTCGTGCCAAATAAAGAGAAGCTGGCACACCACTGGAAAAAGGTTGATGAAGGTGCTATTCCACGCGGCTGTTTCGGAAACTATATGGCACGTGACCGCTTCATGCACATTTCCAGAAATCTGCACTTTAGTTGCAACAGTGACCCTCGTGCGCGTGTTGACAGGGCCTGGAAGCTGCGGCCAGTAGTGGATGCACTGCAAAGGACATTTGCGGCTGGATATACCCCACCGGCTATCATGGCGTTTGATGAGGCCATGCTTCCATCCAGGTCTTCGTTCAACCGCATGCGAGTTTTCATGAAAGCCAAACCCCGCAAATGGGGCACGAAGCTGTTTATGTTGTGCTGTTCCCGCACCGCGTACTGCATTCGGTAAGTAGCGAGCGTGCCTTCGGGTGCGCTCGCTTTTTTTTTATCGCTAAGTTATCTAAACCTGTATGGTACCGCCTGAGCGCTAATCCACTCTGTCTTATACAGGTTTGAGGTCTACTGTGGCAAGACAAACCAAGAAAACGACAACAAAACTGGTCCCGCTGCTGTGGCACGCAACCTTCGCCATGTATTTGGTCGTTATGGCACTGAAGGAAACGACTTCAGGCTGGTTGTCACCGACCGGTATTACACGTCAATCCCTTTGGCACTGCAGCTACTAACGATGAACTTTTATCTCGTGGGGACAATCAATACAGCGAGGCTTGGCTTACCTGAGGAGATAGTGGGGTCTCGCAAGAAGAAGGGGGAGAAAAAGAAAGTTTCTATCCCGAAGAAGCGCCCGCAAAGTGTTGATCGGGCACTTTTGCTGTAAGCGAGTTCACTCAGCTTCCAATAATGAAGGCAATACGGTGGTGGGATTCCCAAGCTGTATATCTGTTGGCTACCGGTGGTAGTGATGCGATGGATCGTGTCGTGAGGCGAGAAGAGATTTCTGGAATGCAAAAGGAGTTCGCGTGCCCTCGGATCATGAAGGATTATCATACGTTCATGGGTGGAGTGGACGTGCACGACCAACTCCGTCTGCAAAGGTATGTCTTCCATCCTGGAGTATACAGGTTACGGATTGAGCTAAACCTGTATTATACTGTTCCTTAGGTACTCGCTTCAGCTTGCGATCAAGTACAAGAAATACTACAAGTCGCTGTTTCTTGGTCTGATTGATCTTGTCACTGTGAACGCGTACATCACGCACAACGCTGCACGGGCGGCTGCAGGGCTGCAGAAGCTTAGTCACGTCAAGTTTATGAAGCAGTTGCACCTGGAGCTCTGCCAACTCCGCGAGGAAGACTGGGATGCTCTCCTGCGTGACGACGGGCAAGCCACTCCGACCCAGTCTCCAGCAGCGGGATCCGGCCGACGAGCTGTACATTTTCCGCTGAAGAACGAGAAAATGCGTCCGGGCAACGACGGGAAGGGCCAGAAGCAATGTGTGCGAGCCTGCAAAGTGTGCTCTTGGATGAAGGGTATTTCTGGAACGATCGCAAACGACACGTCAACGTACTGCAGCTTCTGCAAGCTCAAGGTGAAGGGAAAGACGCTGCAGAACAACCCACAAGCGCAGCGAGTATTCCTGTGCGACAAGGTGCGTCATACGCACAATGGAGCCGCGATGTCCTGCTTCGAACTGTGGCACAAGGGGTGGCGGAACGGCACGCGGCGCCCAGCCAGCAAGAGCAAGCTTCGCGCGCGCACCCCGGTCGAGGTTTGCGAGGAAGAGGTCCAGTCGTCAAGTGATGAGTCGTCCGGCGAGCGCCAGGCGAAGAGAGCGCGCCAGAACAGCTGAATCCAGCTGGTGCGTTTATCTTAATTTCAATATACGCATTTTTGGTCATCAATGTGTTGTGTTGGTTGCTGATGGAGACGCTCCCAAAGTCGGGACACAACGCGACGCATCTCTGCGCAATGTTCAGTCTGTAACACAGCTCATACAGGTTATCATTCGTTAACCAGTATCTTTTGGCATCGAATCCTGTATATACCTGTTAGGCCAGCAAAGGTGTAGGGGAAAAATGCGCTTATCCAATATACAGGATACGGAGTTATATAGGCATTTGTAGTGGGCCCTTTCTACGACATACATGTTAATTCCTTAGCTTTCAGGGGGATCTGAAACCCCTCCGGGCTCAAGGGGTTAACATCTGGGAAACTGATGCTTCATGACAGTATTTTACAACACAGTTGAGAGCAAAACGAAGACTAAATTTGAGTTGAATTGCTCAGCCTTAGAAGATTGTTCGTCGTATCTCTCGTCGTAACTGGAAGCATATTGGTGGAAATACAAAACAAAACTTGTTCGATGCTGGACAAATCGATATAAGCTCTGTGGATACCGTGATACTTCCGCAGTTGAAGGCACGCATGCAATGTAAACGCTGGCTACACGACTGTAACGGCGATTTGTATACAGTTTTCTCATGTTTACTGCCGTGGTAGATCTCATCGGTTAGCGCAGTGAGTATTCGTGGCACTAGAAATGCAACAATTTTGCCGTATCGAATACAATGTGGTCAATACGCATAAGTAGCTAGGGTCATTACAGTCTGGGCTCTCCGTTTGACAGATGATGTGAGGAAATAATCGCTACAGGTATTGACTGGTGTCCAAAAGTATACTATGTGCACTGTTACATTGAACGGAAGGCTAAGTACGCTCGTAGTTACGTGGTCCCACTCACCGTTATCAAATGAGGTCGAGATGAAGTGTCATCTAGGCTTCTGGGCTATTCTGCTGAGGTTGGCCAAGAAGTACCCGCTCAAACGGCACTGTTTGCACGTAGTGTCCTACAACCAGATGGTACTATCACAAACGCTAAGAAGGGTGAGTGGCTACGACGACGCGCAGGTGCTAAACTATGGGGCTTATGGATGAATTTCCAGCCACAAGAGCGCAATGACTACTTCAAAAACAACGAAGACCCGAGTTTCCCATCGGCTGAATACCCGTATGGAATAATGGACGATCGTAAGGACAACTCTAATATCATCGCGTGGTGCCAAGCGATCTTACTACATCTTTAGTTCTATCCGAAGATGTACCAGCAACTCAACCTACATCTCCTATGGATCCCGAATTTAAGAAGTCTCTCACCGATCTTAAATAAATATCATCAAGGTGTTCTAGAAGCTGCGCTACCAACTGAAGCCACAGCTTTGGCACGCGCAATAGGGTCCAGAGACGTTCAAGAGGTCTTGCGCCATGCGATCGAGGTTGCAGGTGGTATGGGGGCAGCATTAGCGAACATCATTTCTCCTCCTGAAAGGAAAACGATGTTGAAGACCACTAAAAGGTATGTCCGGCACACGCGCGGAGCTGCAACCCAAATGCTGATGTGTGAAGAAGCAGAAGCAACTGATGCTGTCGATTTGACCGAAATAAATGCGAAAGTTTGTAACTGCGCTCTTTAAAACTTCACTAGTAAAACTATTCGCGAGAATTGAGGCGCTCAAGAGCTCTTATGACGAAAAACTACAGTTTACCTGTACGAGATCTAGCTACCTAAGGAACTTGTACTGGCTACGGAACGAAGGTGCGGGTCTGTCAGTAGAATCCGCGAACGAATTGAATCCATCACCCCGCCCCTCCATGAACACAAAAAGTTCGCGAGGATCAATAGCGAGTGTAGGTAGTTAGGCGATTCCTCAATACACTATCTTGTTCTTGAAAAAGATATATTTCCCATCGCATCAATGATGTGTAGCCGCTAAATCAAACTTTGTTTCGATATTTTTACACTCGAAGCGATTCCACTCAATCCACTTCTCCATACGCTTAATGTCGAGTTCAATCTTAGTATTGAGACAGTCAAACCAGTCGCGCATTTCCTTCATCTCCTACCCCACCTTTATGCGCTTGGCGTTGTAATTGCGATTCCTTGATCTTCACGCAAGGCAGAATTAGCTTCATGCGGTCGTCAACCTTGGCGTGACCGCCCTTCTGCGGTGTGCTGTTCTTAACAGTCTGCAAATGGGCGGCACGGACCTTCCTAATGACCTCAAGACGGGCCACACACCAAGGCATGATGAACAGAACGTTGCGTCTCATCCAGCGTATTCTTGCACTTCTCACAGCATTCATTGACAGCATGCAGTCGGCATTGTGATCCTACAAAAGAGTGCCGGCCTCTAACAGAAGATAAGCTGTCAATTGTCCTGTTCGCGGCACATCCCCTCCTTGCGCTTCATGCTACACATATGTCGACTCCGTGTGCATGCTCCTTGTCAGCTCCATTCAGTCTTCATCGACAATTTGAGATCATTTAGTGCTGCTGTTGTCAGATGTGTTTTGGTAAAAAGTTTGCCTTTATGCGAGATCGGGGGCACCAAACGGGTTAGGCTTAATCACGGTGTTGTACTCGCGCCCACAAAGTTCACTGAAACCTTACCGTGATCGAGTTGGCCATTCTGAAGAGCTAGACACTTGTGGTTTTTCTGTTCAAAGAGTTTATTATGGACGGGTCTTGCCGCTTGCCAATCACTCGTTCATGTTTGCCACAAGAGCAATATGCGAATGCTCCAGATTAGATCGCTTCTCCTCAGCGTGTGCTACATAGTATTGAATTGGATGCAGACTAGATAGTGAGGGCAGTGTAAGCTCCGATAATTCAATCACTTCTGAACTTCCATTCTCCCCACAAGTGCCTTCGCTTCGGTCTTCTTCTTCCGGTGGTGAATCTTTCCTTCCCTTCGCTCCGCCCAAGTTCTACGTTACCCAAGATCCGTGATCATTATCCCTTTTAAGTATCTACTGATAAGTTAACCCTTTCTTGGTCGTTGGGGGCGTTTAGCCCGCTTTGGAGGGTGTATTCTCGAGTATCACTCGTGTCACCCATGAAATCAAGGTTGGATTTTGCCGATGGCATCGGCTTTATTTTCTTGGCCAATTGGCAAACGCCATCGCAAAATGCCGTGCTATACAACGTATACGATTATGTAGACACACAAAATCGGATACTGTTATACGGTGCCTGGAATCACTCCTATTCGAAAACGACGGGTATCAGTGCTTCTTTGACGGCCTTATGACTTGACCGTCTATAGTATAATATAGCCAGGGCAAAAGTGTCCGTTCACGAAAGGGTTATCAAATCATTTAAATAAATTAATCTAATAATAACAATCGACGCGCATGCCTTTGTTTGATTGTTACGTCGTTTTGAGACGCGATATTCTTGCTATTCGAAAGCATTGAACCAATAAGGCTCCATTATATTGGGACCAACATCGGGGACGTTTACAATAAAGTCACTTTATCGAACGTGTGTGTCAAAATTCATACCTCTATTCTCACCATTTTGGATAGTACAAAATCCATCACAACCAAGTGCTGAAAGTCACACGACAACTAATCTACAATCGAGGTGACAGTTCAGTCTGCGAGCTGATCTTATACGTTTGATAAGTCCTAACAGGTAGTATAAACCGACTTACCAACAATTTTAAGATAAAAATCATGGAAGATCGCCATAGACGCGTGTTTCAAAGCCCAAAACGAGCCATGACTCATAGTTACTAGCTTATTTAGCCTGGAATCACGTATTATGAACCATCGTTGGTACCTCAAATCATAGAAATGTCATAAACTATCTTGGTTTTGTAGTTTTTAATCGTGTTTAATGTCAATATGACATCTGGTCGGATACCACTATCATATAGCCTACCTCCATCCTGTATTATCTGTCGAAACTTAATATTTTGATATGGCTTTTGGCCTTCTATACATTGGCTATATAAACAAGTGTTGGTAGGCGCCCATTTTCCAACGGATGAGGACCACAAAAAGTTATTTTCGGATTTTCACGTTTTTACGCTTTTATCTTAAAGTAAAACACACAACTTTAAAGTTGTGCTGATCAAATTATTTTATTTTTTATTTTTAATATCTAGTTCACGTTTTAACTAAATATTTTTTAAAATATATATAAAGTTAAGTCGTGTTGTGTGTGATTTGTGTTGACTGTTTTATTAAGAGTTCCCAAAATAATGTGGTCCACACTCATGTCCGGGACCTGCTACAATCTAATCCCCCCTCTGTGCCGAGCCAAAAAGGCGAAGAGACCAGCGGAGAGAAGTCAAAGCGAGGGGAAACCCCAGTCTGCAGTCTTTGGAGCTACTTGCACCCATGGACGCGAATCAGCTTCGCGAACTGGAGACGCTATGCCGTGTGCTCTACGAGAGCGGCAACGAGGCTGAACGCTCGCACGCGCAGCAAGCTGTGCTTATCCTGCAGAGCTCAGCTGAGTACATTCCACAGTGTCAGTACGTGCTGGACAACTCGTCGTCGCCCTACGCGTTGCTCGTGGCCAGCACCAGCCTAACCAAGCTCATCACCTCGCACTGGAACAACTTTACCACACCACAGCGCGTTGATATCCGTAAGCCAGCACTTATATCATTACCCCATGCTGCTCTACTTCAACACTTATCCTTGTTATTGTGTCTATCGCCAATGCTAGGTAACTATGTGCTAGGCTACTTGGCTCAGAAGGGACCCACACTGGAGAAATTCGTGACCACATCGCTTATCCAAATGGTCTGTCGCCTCACCAAGTACGGCTGGTTCGACGACGAGCAGCACCGCGAGATTGTGGCCGAAGTGACGAAGTTTCTACAGGCCACAGTGGACCACTGCGTCATCGGTCTGCAGATCTTGAGTGAACTCGTCACAGAGATGAATTTGCCCGTGGCAGGACGCAACATCACATTCCACCGCAAGATCGCAGTATCTTTTCGAGAAGATTCGCTCTTCCGGATCTTCCAGGTGGCGCTCACATCCATTAAGCAGCTCCAGATGCACAATATTCGAGGTGCCTCGCCGCAACAGGAAGCCAGGATGGGTGACCAAGCGCTGTCATTGCTCATCAAGTGCTTGTCCTTCGACTTTATCGGCACCAACCCGGACGAATCGTCCGAAGAGACAGGCTCACTGCAGGTTCCCACGTCGTGGCGCTCGGTTATCCAAGATCCAGACACGTTGCAGCTGCTTTTTGATTTTTACAAGACGACCAACCCGCCAAACACGTCCAAGTGTCTCGAGGCGCTCATGTTGTTTGCATCAGTGCGACGAAATCTCTTTTCGCCGGACAAGGAGCGCAGTGTTTATCTCGCTAACCTGTTGAAAGGAATCTGCGCTATCTTGCGCGCACAAGAAGGGCTATCGGACCAGCAAAACTACCACGAGTTCTGCCGTCTGATTGGCCGTTTGAAGTCGAATTACCAGCTCTCGGAGCTCATGAAGACCGAGTCTTTTCAGGAATGGATGGACCTCACGCCCGATTTTACGATCAAGTCTTTCCGGCAGTGGCAATGGTCTGCGAACTCGACACATTATTTGCTTGCATTATGGGCGAGACTTGTGGCTGCATTGCCTTACGTGCGCGCAGACTCAGTGCCAGGCTCTCCGAACTCAGGGGCAGTTAACTTCCTGGACACACGCATTCCTCAGGTGATTCAGGCTTATTTACAGTCGCGTCTGGATTCTGCCGAGCAATGCGCACTTGATGATACGCTGGACAACCCGCTGGATGACGAAGGTGGTCTGTACGAGCAGTTAGAGAAATTGCCGACGCTATGCCACTTCAACTATCGTCAGACTGGGGAGTACATCGTATCGGTATTGGACCCAATTCTGAATCAATATGCAAAAGCCTGCAGCATCTTGGACCAAAATGGCGGGGCAGCGATCGCCCCGCAGCAGCAGCAGTTGCAAAGCATGGAGAACCAGGCGGCTTGGCTCGTATATGCTATTGGCGCCATTATAGGCGGCCAAACTTACTCCTCAACGTCAACGGAAGGCGACGAGCTAGTAGATGCGGACCTCTCACAGCGAGTTTTCCGCGCGATGCAGTTGACAGAGCATCGGATCATCGCGTCGGGCGGCCAGACGAAGCCTAGTGTGCACTTTGAGTTATCGTTGCTCTACTACTTTAGCAGCTTCCGCAAGAGTTACATTGGCGAGCAGCACGGCATGCCTTCGGCCCCTACGCCGTCGTCCTCTATGCAGCCTGCGTCGGCCGGGTCGGCCTCGTCGCCTATTATGGCTCCTAGCGAAAGTGCCATGTCATCTAAGCACAAAGCATACTTGCGCATGTTCGAGCGGCTAGGACTGGGCGACCACACGGTCGTCGTGAATATGATGGTAACGAAAGTGGGCAACAATCTCAAATTTTGGGGTGAGATGGAGGTGGTTATTAGCAAGACTCTGGCGCTTTTCTTCGAGGTTGCATCTGGATACTCCTCAGGCAAACTTCTGCTCGGGTTGGAAACCGTGCAGTACCTTATCGGAAACCACACAGCGGAAGAGTTCCCATTCCTAGCTGTTCCCGCTAATACTCGGCACCGGACGACGTTCCACTCGACCATCGCGCGGCTTATTTTCACGACAGCGTTCGATGAATCTTCAGAGCGGTTCGAGCGATTCATGGAGCCTATCGAGAACGTGCTGAACCAGCTCCTACAGACACCGAACTACCGTGTGCCCGAGGTCCGCGAGGCTGTAATTGGTGTGTGTCGAGATCTACGAGGTATTATCCAGCAGACGCACAACCGACGCACGTATAGTTGCATCTTCGATCTGCTGTATCCCGCCTACTTCCCGGTTTTCGTTCGCGCCGCCGACGAGCTGTATGATCACCCCGCTGTGACCACCGCTCTGTTAAAGTTTTTGCAGGAGCTGGCGTACAACAAGGCTCAGCGTGTGACATTTGACCAGAGCTCAGCCAGCGGTATCTTGCTGTTTCGTGAGCTCAGCAGCGTTGTGGTAGCGTATGGCCGGCGGATACAACCAGTACCGGCAGGGAAGAATCCATACGGGGATAAGTATAAAGGCGTGGCGCTGTGTCTGGGTATTATGTACCGTGCGCTGGGTGGGAATTACGTGAACTTCGGCGTGTTCCAGCTGTACAATGACAAGTCATTGGAGAACGCGCTAGAGATCGCACTGCAGCTTGTCCTATCTATCCCTCACGAGGACTTGATGCACTACCCCAAGGTGAAGAACGCGTATTTCTTCTTCCTGGAGATTTTGTTTCGCAATCAGTTGGCGTCAGTGGTGGCGTTGGAGGACGGTATCTTTCGCCAGCTGGTGCAGTCACTGCATGAAGGTATGAACTCGTACGATCTGGCTATTGCTGCTCAGTGTGCGACGGCAGTCGACCACTTAGCGTCGTTGTATTTCCAGGAGATGAAGAAGAAGCGCGATACACCTGTGAAGCATGCTCTACGTGCACACGTGCAAGGTTCGCCCAACATGTGGTCAACACTTTTGGCGGCGTTGCTGGACATCCTAGTGTACGGCGAGGCGAATTCACAGTGGGCGCTTTCACGACCGATCCTGAGTCTCACACTGTGCAGCGAAGAAGCACTCACCAACTACCAACAGCAGTTGAGCTCGTCACAGCCACCGGAGAATCGTGCACAGATTGAGGAGGCTTTTGCCGCGCTGTTCGCAGACGTCCGTCCCAACCTGGAGGCAGCCAACCGCGACAAGTTCACACAGAGGCTCGGCCAGTTCCGCAACACACTACGCAGCTTCCTCACCATCCAGTAATTTAGTTGGCTCAACTACGAAGTACCAGCCTTGTGGTGACGTATTCGAACAGCGTGCGGGCTGTTCGTGTTGGATGATGAAGATACGTAGACATGCTAGGAGGACTGCGGGGCCGAGAACTGAATAATGAGGAGGTGACTAGTTATTAGATTGGTGCGTGCAGGGGCAGAGCGAGCAGGACCTTGTCATATTGAGGGATTTTGAGCGCATTGCTGACGCGAGTGCAGACGCATTAATTGAAAAATGCACCTGATAGACTAACAATGGGAATACACCACGGAGCACCACGTCATTGCTTGGTTTTTATGGAACAAGTGGGGTTGTATCTGACAGCATTGAAGAACTAGAGAGTGCTTGCTGACTGTTGGAGTGGTTGCCGTTTGGAGGCACGAGCGGTGACGACGGTACTATACCATGCTGGTATGTGATCTGGTTAGGAGGCAATTAGTTAGACAAGCAACGTTTCATGAACAAGAAAATCTTACCAGTGGCGGCTTCTTGGACGCAAGTGGGTATGTGATCTGGACCTTCAGCAAGAAAGGAAACGTTTTAAATCTGGGTAGCATGCGGTAACTCACTACCTGATTGCTTACCCAGGATCTGCCCCACGATCGAATTAACTGCCACTCGACATCAGCTCGCTCAAAACAGTGTCGCTTGTTTATTCTTAGCAGGAGTGCACGCACATATTGCTCGGCCTGCAAAACAGTACAAATAAAGTAAAGATACCCGATTGGTACCTCACGCAACACGCAGCAACGTACATCTCTGATGCAAAAGTTTGGACAAAAGAGAGAGAGGCCCAATGTGCAAGGGCAGCAGCCGTATCCGCAGCAAAAACAGAAGAAACACGGCCAATAGTCCTGCATCGTGTTGTTAATCTGGTTGATAGCGACTTCAAACTCCGTCTCCTTAACCTACAAACCATACATCAGATATTCAGCGTGAGGCCTCCTCAACCTCGAGTCTCAAGTTGTAGCGTACCAAATGACTGAGTTCAGACGGAAAGTCATCCTCGTAGGCTTGAGCTACGCCGGTCACGAAACGCATTCGAGTCGGATAAAGTCGCACCTCACCGTATTCCTTCTCGTCATCGGTGCGTGCGGAGCCCCGCACCATCACGACGGACGCCGCATTTGAGGAGGCATCGTGGAAGCTTGTAGCCACCATTGTTCACTCCAAACAGGAGTGATCCACCGAGAACTCCAACTCAGTGGCGGTCATTTACGGCGCTTTAGCACGCTTGCCCACCGCAGATTTGCGGATCGCGTCGTTTCGTGTTGGAACGACTTTCGCGTAACAATTCAAGTTGAAGTGAGTTTCAAATATTCTTTTTCTTAAATCTTAATTAAGATAAAAGAATGGTGATCAATTGGTCATTTAGTTGCCTTTTAGAGCTGGGCCCGATGATGGCCATTGAGTGCTCGGATATGTAGGGGATATTATTTCGAGGTGGGTATCTTTTTGCACAGCTCTGGGGTTGCGATAGCGTCCAGCACGAAGTTTACCGTGGATGAGGTTCCCCGTGTTGTGGCACGACTGTGAACTGGTTGTGCTGGTTGTGGCGCGATATAGAGGGCACCACTTGATGACCGCCGCACCACCGGTCCATTCTTGCTGCCATGTCGATTTAGCCGAGTCTCCACTATACTGCGTGTGAGGTCCGTGCGCCACTCTTGGGATACAATACTCTTCAGATCAGCGTCACTCAAATGTTTACCTTCGCTGCATGGGATCACATATATATTAGTAATAGTGACCCCCCCCCCCCCCCCATCACTGCAAGCAATTGTACGTACCCCGCTATCGCACTGCGCAGCTCCAGGGCAGCCCATGAGGTAAAGGAACCACTGGGAAGTAGCAGATCTGCGTTCTCTCGGAAGACGTTCACCTTGGTGGTGTTGTATGTCATCTGCATGGGTTTTCCAGCGAATCCTTTCCATTCTACCGGGATCTGTTGCTCGATACGCTCTACGCGCGAGGCTATCTCACTGTCGTCATTGTTTGGCATAGCCCCTCGATTGTACCTACGAGCGGCCGTCGCTTTGTATTTATACTCAATGGCAGCCCTTGTTATAACCGAAAGATATGCCAAAATTTGCCGCGCAAGTATTCGTGTAGAACCGACGATTTCATCATCGATCAGACTGTCCGATGTTTATCGAGATACAATATCGGGGCGTCACTAGATGTCGCGATAATCTGGTACTAGTAGCTATCACCGCCTGATTATCACGAGTTCAACCAGAGAACTCAAGGCACCAAGCTTTCGAATTTCCGATTCGAAAATGGTTTTTATGCTACACTCAAAATCGATATGGATTACTAGTACAGCTCGTAGTTTTAACACTACACCCCAAAATACATTGTGTTTAACTTATGCTTGTCTCCCAAGTGATGTTTCAAGATATTTATGTACACATCTTGCCAATTCTAATAGACTCATGCCTTTATATTACGATAAAGCTACTGCCCAGGTTGATTTTGCATAAAAAGAAATATTGTCCAGGTTGAGCACAGGTTCAATCTGGATATTACCCTGGACGGTAAGAAAATAAAATACGTGCCCATCTCCATGATGTGCACATGACCCCCTAACCACAATTACCCATCATCTGAATTCACCTTGCACGCCACGCACCATTCCCTCCCTCATTCAAAGAGTTTCTAAGTAATGAAGTGACGGAGCAGATCCTCGTCATCGACAGCACGAACAGTGATCCCGATAGCTCAGCAGGTGATCCCTCAAGTGCTGCCAACGCAAAGAACCACGCCGTGGCGGGAGATGCACGTCTGAGTGGCGAGAATTTCTTCGAAGGGAAGAAAATCCCTCAATATCACGACAGTTGGAGGCCTGGGAATTGTATCGTGCTGAATAGAGGTCTTTAGCAGAACTGTGCAATCCAGAAAATACTGTTTACCATGTGGAATTTCTGCCTAACCTCGCTGATGAAGCGACAAGTTTGAATAGGTAGGTGGCTACGAATCCACCACTTCGAAAGGAAATTCGTGTTGTATCATATGCTAAGTTCTTTCCTTAAATCGTACTGAAAGCAGCGGTAAAGCTGAGGTGGAATAGAAAGTTGGGTAGCGTCCTCACGCGCGAACTCTATTTCTGCTAGGCACTTATAGAAGCTCGCTGTCCCCATCCCAACTCGACAAAGAATCCCCGCAATGTCGCCAAGCCAAGAAGACGGTAACGATGTGCTCTTAGTTGTGCGGCAACTAACGTCAAGAGTGCGCCGCCACCACAAGGCTGTGTTTTTGTTTCGGCTCTGGAGGCAAGCAATGGACGAAGGAAACGCCGTTATTTCGGCAGCACTTTTCTCGTTTTTAGCGACTGAACTCCCAGTGGAGGCAGCACGTCGCGCACCGTACAACTTTAACGCTCTTTCTAACGACCAGTGCGTCGAAAGATTTCGGTTTACAAAGGTGCAGGTTGTGGAACTTGTGACGCTCTTTGGATTAGAAGGCATTCGGACTCGAGAAAGGACGGCTGCAACTGGAGCTGAGGGTCTGTGTATCCTTTTGTACAAACTTGCTGTACCGGTTCGCTGGGTGGATCTTAAAGAAGCTTTCGGTAGAGATTCAAGTGGTCTATCAAATATTTTTTTGCACATGCTGACACTTTTGGACGACAAGTACGCAAAACTTCTTTATTTCAACGACTCGTACGTGGTTCAGAATCTGCAAGCATACGCAGACGCTGTGTTTGACGCTGGTGGCCTCTTGCAAAACGTTTGGGCATTTATCGATGGGACTGTACGGGGAATATGTCGTCCTCGGCCTCGTCACACAAAGCGCGATGGCAAATTTATGAGCCAAAAATCTGTGTATAATGGCCATAAACGCAAGCATGCTCTCAAGTATCAAACACTAACAACCCCAGACGGTCTTATCGCTCACTTGTATGGACCATTTCCCGGCAGAAACCATGACAGCAAGCTTTTCAAAGATTCAAAGATTTCTGAGAGGATTCGCAATGATTCTCGTTTCCAACAGTACATGATTTATGGCGATCAAGCTTACGGTAACGATGATGTACTGACTAGTCCGTACGCTGGTGAGGTTGAAAATCTATCGCGAGAACAACGGCAAGAGTATGAGTCGTGTACGTGTTTCAGCGGAGTGGTCATACGGACAGGTGACCAACTACTGGACAGCTCTCGATTTCAAACAACAAGCTCGAGTTGGGATTCAACTAGTTGGACTTATGTATCGTGTTGGTGTCTTCTTGACAAACTCTATTACTTGTACACAGGGTGGCAACACTATCAGCGACTACTTCGGGCTAGCTCCTCCAAGCCTAAGCGTCTATTTGAACACTAGATAGCTGTAAGCAACACGTTCATTCATTAGAATTCGTGAATACAAAGCGAATCTAGTCTACTTGCCTCCTCTCATTGATACGGAGCTAGTCCTTGCGGTACAAAACGCTCAGTAATTTTACACATTCCAATATGAGTTGTCGGTTGCGCTCCTCAGACTCATGTTGAGCCCTTTGCATCCGTTTTTTCTGCTTGAGATTGCACCAGGGCTCTTGTACGTTCCATTTGCACTGAGTGCCCATGCATCTCACGCTCTAAATTGATGCTATCCTGGTGTTGTTGGAGCTGTGCCTGCATCTGCCGATCAACTTGACGACGGCGAAGCTCCATATCATCGCATATCCGCTTATCTTGACGCTCAGCTTCCAGTTGAAATGCACTCTTGCGCTTACCGTGGGCTTTCGACGGAGTTGACTTGGAAGAAGAAGCGTAGTTAGTGTCGTCGCTCGCGGAGGAATCGCCGTCAGAATCGATGTCATCTTGACGAAGAGCACGACGCACCAGCGCCTCATTTACAATTTCAGACGCACAGCGCGTCGCGCTAGCCTCGTCAGCCTTCTTCTTGTTGATGCGATCCATTTTATCATCTTTGCCAGCGTTCTCGAGCTGTACATACTGCCCCACCAACCCAGCCAATGTTTCGTAGTGGCTCTGCTTGTTGACGGCTTCAAGTGTTTCCTCGATTCCGCTTCCTAACGAAGACCGTAGTTCACCGGCATGCCAATTCTTTTTAAGCAAGCCCACACGATCCCGAACTTGCTTCTCTAAGACCCGTTCCTTGATGGTGGATGAAACATGCTCCGCAACGCTAGCCCATACTCGAGCGGCCTCCCCGTACTTGGCTGCAAATGGCTTTTGGGCGATCGCCTCTTTCATGAGTTCTTTGTCGTAATCATCCGTAAAGCGAAACACCATCTTGCCGTCGTAGCAAATTTAGAAGTGGGCAAACATATAAAATTTACCTCATGAGCAGCTAAATTAAAGTAGCACTGCCATAATGTCACGAAGAACAAGGACGGTTGTGCTAAAGCTAGATCCGACAATTTGACGATGGAGCTCACATATGACAGTCCATTTCAAACTGACACTGTTGTGCTAAAAACCTCTAATATTGCGAATTTACCAACTCTCATATCGTCGTAAAGGAGACAGAAGGTGTCACAAGCGAAATAAGCAGCTGCGCGAATCGAAGCGCGCCAAGGATGGCCAACCAGTTCGCTGTTTACCCGAGGAATTGCCAAGGTGGCGACGGCGGTATATCTGCACGCATGGGTGGACGGACCGTTCCCGTGGGCAAGGTGTCCGACCTCAGCGCCAGATCCGATCAACTGCTTGTCCGTTTCGATTAACGGCCGAGAGTGTGTATATCCAAGGCTCATGGCGAGTTGAGATTCGCTTCCCGGTATACACACACAACCACGCGCTGCTGGAGTCTGTGTACGACAACTATTCACACATCCGCCAAGTACCTATGTGTGAACCACTAGTGGGAGATCTTCGGCTGATAGTACGATCTGGAGGGAAGAGTCTTCGTAATTTACGAGTATATTCGTGACCATTCGGCTTATAAGATCAGCAGGCGCGACGTATCCAACTTGATATCCCGGATTCGAACGGAGCTACGGGAAGAAGCTGGCGACGACCTTGCTGTCGCAGAATTTCTTGTCGATTTTGGGGCGAAAGATCCGGATAATGTGGTCAGTGTTGATGAAACTTTGGCTGGAGAAACGGGGGCGATATCATTGACAACAAGCCACATGCGTCGACTGTTCCTTCGCTTCCCTGAAATTGTGCTGGTGGATTGTACGCACAGGACCAATCGGTACGCTCTCCGCCAAGCTCTCGAGACAGAAATTTAGGACACCAACCAGGTCAATAACCAGGTTACTGCCCAGGATGATATCCAGGATAGATTCCAGGTTATTGACCAGGTTGATGGTCAGGTTAAAGGCCAGGTCGTTCTCCGGGGTGACCAGGGTGGTGTCCATGATGTTGTCTGAGTCTCGTCGAGTACTTTGTTTTGGCTCTAACTATTACTGTGTCTTGTATGTACTTAGTTACAACTACCAGCTCTGCGTCTCATGGTAATGGATGGGTTTGGGTATGGCCAGTTTGTTCAGCATTCTAATATTGAAAGCAATGTGGACTGGCACATGAAGAAAGCATTGGATCACATCAAGACCGCCAACATCAATGGGGGTGCTTTGCAAGTAGTGATGGTGGACAAGGACATGGAAATACATTTTGGAGTAGGTACTTTATAATTTTCAGCTAGTCACTCTTCGACAATGTGTGTCGGCTTGTTCCTTTTTAATTGTCGACTCGTCACTTCACTTAGGTACGATTTTAAGGATGCACAATCGAACCTAAGTGAATACCAAAAACAAAAAAATCAACTTCACACAAAACTGCGACTCCATACGCCCGCCGGCCGATGGGGACAACCGAGCGAAGCGAGGTGCTCCCCCTTGGGGGAGGTAGAGGGGGTTTTAAGGTTTGGCGCTGAAGGGTAAAGGGTGTAGGGGACTAGGGTGTAGTCTTCTGTCAACGAGAAGCGAATGCGTAGGTAGAACACTTTCTGTGGTTTACGATTCAAAAGTGACCGGTGCCGCAATGCACTGGAACGCTCCGTTTGAATTTCAAGCTAGTCACTTTTCGAGTGCGAGCTAGTCACTTGTAAACGATTGTCAAACGTAGCAATGATTTGGCTGTCCAAAACGTTACTTTATCTGTGCGAGATAGTCATAAATGTCTAGCTAGAGACGCAAAAAGTGACTAAATCAGACAGTAAGCCGCGAAGTGATAGTGCAAAATTGAAAAGTAACTAGTTCAAATACGCACCCCAAGGACATGAATGAAGTATCGGTGATCCGGGAGGCCAGGCAACCGTGCTGTTGTGTCACTTCCACGTGCTGAAATATCTTCGAACGGTGGGGCGGGAGGCGAAATTTGGTCGCTATGCAGCAAATGAATACGAGTCGATGCGGCATCTCTTTGTAAATCTTGCCGATGCTTCTACTCTTGATGAATACGACCGCAATTTGGCTGTTTTGAATAAGTTTGCGTGTGCGCGGGGAAACGTTTCTTTTTGGGAATACTTCTGCGAGAACTGGGATTCGACAAAAGACATGTGGACAACATACTGCCGGCAACCATTACCACACTTCCGCAACAATACCAACAATCGTTTTAAGTCTAACCTCGGCAAGTTGAAGTTACGCTTAGAAGCTTCGTCCACCATGAAGGAGTGTCTAGAGTTATTGATGCGACATCAGCGTCGAAGTGAAAACGAGTTTCATGCGCGATTGGCGTTTGAAGGCCAGTGTGTGAACAAATTGTATGGTGAAGAGCTTAGCTTAGTACTTCAAGTTTGTACACCGTGGGTCGCGGCAACCATGAAGCCTGAATATGAGTTTGCTATGTCGAGTCAAGCAGACACGGTGTATCAAATTGAGGTGGATGCTAACGCAGCTGCGAAAGTTCGGAGTGACCGTGGAACTTACATGTTCAACAAGGTTGAATGGGTGTGCGACTGTGATTTTGCATCTACGCTAAAGCCCCCGTGTCGACATGTTATGTTTTTTTCCGGTCAAAGTCCTCGATCCACCCTGTTATTCCCGTATCAAGTATCGATGCTAGATGGCGCGTCAGAACACCGGCTGGTTCTATGGGTCTCCCCAATGTGGATGGTTTGCACTACTCTAAGGCGTCTCTTCATGCGAAGAAATACGACACTCAACATCATATTTTTCAACCTGGATAATATCCTGGTTGCTAACCTGGATAATATTTTGGTTGCCAACCTGGATCATAACCTGGACAACATCCTGATGTTCAACCTGGATACTGGCCTGGATAATACCGTGGAGTATGCGATTGTCCGACGTCCGCCTCATATAGCGTGATGTCCATTACCTTTTCAAACATCAACATGCGAACACGCGATGGATAAAGTCTCCACAGAGGAATTAAGCTAAACCAGTGAAAGTTCACTGCTTTCGACTTTTATTTATTTCTACTGCTTTGGCGCAAGATTAAGTTCGGTGGGCACTCATTGTTAAGTTCTGGAGCCGCTGACTGCGTCTGGTGGGGTTTTCGCTCCGGCGGCGCGATCGTCGACCTCTTGTCGATTGATACACCCACACGAAGTCGACCGATTCTCGCTCGAACGGAAGGCGTATGCGCCACGGGATGTTTCGTCAGGGCTCCCATGTGAGCTCTCTGTACCCGACCCACTGCACCAAGTAGTATGTTCTCATATTTACCCACCGCTTTGCATACAGACGCTCGACCTCATACAGCTCGCCACCTCGGCTTCTGCGTGCTTGGTTCGCCCCAAACAATCCTCCTTGTGCTCGCTCTTCACGTAGACCTCCCCTTCATGGCCCTCGCTTCGTTCTCGTTAGCTCTCACAGACAACTCGTGGTTAAGTCGAAACTGCAAAAACGAGCCATCTAGCCGTTGATTAAAGTTTCTTGCATGGCGCTGACGGGGGTTCAGGGGGAGGGGGGATCTTGGCGACGGTGCAAGACTAGTTGTGCAGTGCTACTACTTACGCCGAGCTACCCAATGCATACTTGCAACACGTCGTCAACGTCTTATAATGCTATAAATGGATTGTATCTTCTTGCACAATTTGCTATTGCAAATTTCTTATTTACGCGTGTACCACACACGGGTACAGATGATGAATTGTATCTGCGCCGTTGCTTTAGGCCCATGCAGTAAGTTGAGATACGATGAGCCGTTTTCATTGTGATGCATTCAAGTGTTTCGGTTTGGAATTTGCAGTTTGTTGTTTCAAGATGAGTTTGGTATACTATCAAATTCAGCAAATTAAAGTAAAAGTCGTGAGTTTTTCGTAAATTTCAAGGAAACTCCTATACTTTCTCGATCATGCATGGAATGAATCACAACGCATTTTTGGCCTCTTTGCGTCGCTATGGTAAGGGCCCTGGTTTCTTTCCCCTTTTCCCAACTCGTTCAGGTGCAATCGGTAGTGGCGGTACTCCAACCGAGGTATCGACAGTCAGATTTCCGGTAGATGGCCAGGGCACAAATTGAAAGCTGTAGGTGTCTTGAAAATGTTTAATCGACGCCCTTGCAGCATTGTAAAGACCCTCAATTTGTGTGCCCTCTCTAGTAGCTGCGTGAATTGCGTGTACGCACGTAAACTCCTCGTCCCGCCAGTTGCCGCACGTACAGGTCATTTCAACAAGATTCACAGATCTCCATGGGTGGATATATCCTGGTGTTTTCACAGGGCCAAGATTCTGAACCGAGTAAACCTCTAGCATGCACGGAGTCGACTGGGACATCTTAGCAACTTCGCTGCGATCTGTCTGCTGTTTCTGTAAAATTGGAACGAGGGCAGCCTTTCCAGATGTCTTCTTGTATTCATTGCCCTCTTGTCGTCTCGTTGATAACAGCTCACTTAGTTTGAGGAAATACATGTGAAATGCGTCCAAAGGCTTAGCACTGCGAAGTTCCTTTCCCATCCACGAATTAGCTTGCTCCGAAAGGTTGGATGTAATCTCGTTAAATGTCGGGAGATTATACTTCTCCAAAAACCTGTACTTAACTCAGTTATCCGGGTTAAGAATGAGGTTCTCGTTACGGTCTTTCTTCTGCAAATATTTAGCCGCGCCTGGGTTACTAAGTTTAAGCTCGCTGAGAAACAATTTGTAGTCACTGTCGCAGTCACTGCGAGCGAGCTTGCAGATAGTAGCTCTATCGTCAATTGATAATTTGTTCTTGGCTCGGCTGATGTTGTCCATAATGTGCCGGAGACAGAACCGATGACCAGATAGTGGGAACACATTCCCAACAGCTTCCAGTAATCCTTTCGGACGATTGGACAAAATACTAATTCTGTCGACAGCGAGAGATTCCTTCACCACCGTCAAAAACCATTGCCAATGGTCGTAGTTTTTCTTTGGTACTAGAGCAAATGCAAACGGAATTATGTGGTTGTTGTAGTCTTTTGTGGTAGCGACTAGGACAACTCCTCGCTGATTCATCTCAGCTTTTAGATGTGCTCCATCAAAGCCGACAACTGGTTTCGCCATTTTTGCAATGTGAACCCCGACATTGGGCACAAAACAAGCTCGGAGAAAAGTTTCGTCATCTGTTTGTTCAAATTTCCAATTTGAACTTGGGTTTTTGTCTGCCATGACCGCCAAATAAGCACGCAGCTTTTGGTAGCTTTCCAGTAGATTGCCGTGGAATTTGTCGTCAATTTTACGCTTATGCCAGATACGGTTGTGAGACTTGTATCATATCCCTTGCCGGTCAGGAAATTCTTGACAGCAGTTCCTGACATTGTCGAAACTGAATAATTATGCGAAGACAGCATATCTGTCTCAACTAGAGCAATCATATCTGAGACTCTCTGGGTTGTATTACGCAAGGCCTTGGAGGAGCTGGTAGCGATCCTTCGCAGGGAGGGGTCTTCGTTGTTCCGACGTGTTTGAAATGATTGTGGGAAAAGTTAGCTTGCGTAACCTTCCACTTTCCATTCTTCCCGGACACATTAACGAAAAATGGACACCACAACTCCTCAACGCTGGTTTCACTGTCGAAAAACTGCATTCCATTGAATTTTTTGCAGATGTATTTTGCATTTCCACTGTTGTTTGCCTGCACGCTTTGTGTCTTGACGTACAGTTGAAACCCCCGCTTCTTCGCAGAAGTCTTCCACGCTGCTTGAGCTGCTTGCTGAGAGGGAAACTTCGTGTCGGCGATATTCTTGCGTTTGTTATACACTCGGTCATAATTCAGAGAACTAGAATCCGCCATATCAACGGGGACATCTTTCTTCAAAAGACCACGTTTTTGAGCGAAGTCAAATTCAGAAGCCTCCAACACGAACCGAGCTTTCCCAAACTTTAGGCAACCGGGTGTAATCGTGTCACCCATTTGCAACCGGTGAGCAAGTTAGCGAATGCGAGGAAAATTATCTAATTATAACAATGCCGCCTTCGATAAGTTCGTCTAGCGCAAATCGAACTTAGCTGATTTTCACTGCTTGTGGGCCCGGAAACGTTGAAAGCGTGAATTTTCACTGGTTTTGCTTAACCCAATGCCCGCTTCACGATATTCTGTTTAATACAAAGTAAATGGTTATCTTTATTAAACTATAGCTGCCACCTTTGCAAACTTAGTGCATTGCAAGCCGTCCGCAATGGGATGTAGCGAAAACGCTGCGACCAAGTACATATAGACTGCAATTTGTCGTAGAAAAACAACAATGTGCCCACCGGCTGGTAAAATGTCATGATTTCATTGGGCAAATTTGACGTGACTTTCGTCGCATATCCTTATACTTCGAGTATCCCGTTGAATCTGATGGGTCTGGGCAATTTGCGTTCGCGCCTAAATGACTGGTGAAGCGCGCCACTACGTCGCTCGTACGCTCACCAAATTTCGGCTAGTTGTAGACTAGCAAGAGTAGAAGAAGAACTTGGCAAGAACTGGCCGAAAATTTGATGAGTGTACGGGCTGCATTATCTACGCCTAGTTACTCGCTATCCTGGCTATCCACGCAATCCTCATTCGCGTCGCTGCCGCCGTCGTCGCTGTCGCTCGAAACCTCGAAGTGCTTTCGCTTGCGGATGCGAATACGCTTCTTGAGGTGAGCAGGGATGGCAGTGCCGTTGCGCCACAATTCGTGCCATATTTGGCCGAATGTGAGCGTGTTGCCGGTTTCCTCGTGGCGAACCTTGTTACATAGAGGCACGTAGCCTCCGAAGTTTGATGTGCACTGCTCGCAGTAGTAACTGGTTTCGAAGCTCTTTGTCTGGGGAGTTGCCAAGGCTGAGCAAACTTTGCACAAGTGCTGGCGGCGCTTGCCCTTACGCTTCTTCCCTTTACGCTGGAGGTTACTGGCGGTTGATCCATCTCTGGTTTTCCTTCGCTTCTTGCCTTTGTATTTTTCCTCATTGTTTCGCAGTCTGTGCGGTTGCGTGTGAATAGGCTCAGAAACGAGGTCCTCGGCGTTGGTGTTTGCGCGCAGTGTGGCTTCGTTCGTGGCCAAAAGCTCGGTATGAAGTCGGCGCATATACTGCGCGTGTGTTGGCACTGGCTGCCCTTTTTGCTTGAGAATAATTTTAAGTAAAATAAAACCGTTGACTATCGCCATGTCCACAAAACCCATGAAGAGCTGCCGATAGTACTTTTTGAAGGCCACCGTAAGCTGGATTGAATAGCGCTGTAGGCGGAGTTGGTCGTGGCGATCTACTCCGCTCATACCTTGGTGGTAATCAACCACAAGCTGCGGGCACGGTACCGCAACACGCTCTGTCTCCCCCTTCGCTCTACGCATTACAGTCGTTGGAACTGTAGAGCATCCCGTCGCGAGTAGCGCGACAGGCTTGCTGTCCATCCAGCTCAGTGTAACGAGGCCAGGGTAATCACGCGCGTGTGCAATTCGATACAAGCCTCGGGGCATAGTCTTCGGTCTTTTCTTTTGTGTAAAAGCAAACGGCTTGGGTGGCCCAAGCCGCTCGTTGCGGTGGGTTCCGACGTAGTAGAGATCCTTGTCCAATAACTCCAGCAATAGAGCACACGACGTGTAGAAATTGTCGACGATGATAAGCCTTTTATGGGCCTGGCCATCAAGCGCCTTAGTCACGTTCCTGATAACTGCCTTCTGTGTCACACCTTTCGAGTTCTCTACAGCGCCGTGATACACTGCCATCCTCAATGTTACACAATACAGCATACGGTTAGCGCTCAGTTTCTTATTCTGTACTATTCAGAGTAACCAAATACAGAATAGAGTAAACCACCTACCGAGTACAGTATCCGGTCTCCGCGCAGCACGTCATGTACACTTTAGTCCCGCACTTGTGAGGCTTCTCATTATAGACGCACACAGGGTTGAACTTACTTCTGTTAGATATGGTTCCTTCATCAAAACTGATGCGAGGCCCCAGCCGATAGCCACGACGAAACGTTTTTTCAAGAACCTGAAGAATGGGCCGAACTTTCCAAGCCTTGTCTGTGGCTGCGGCAGCAGGGTCGGTTTTGGTGAAGTGCAAGTACCGGGTAACTAACCGAAATCGTTCACGTTTCATGTATCTGGAGAAGGTACCGCGTGGCACTGCACCGTCCTACCGCGTCGATCAGTGCTTTTCCAAGCCATCCGTATGACCACAGAGTGTTCGAGCAATGAGAAGGCCAATCACGTGGAGAATTTAATGTGCTTGAATTGGCTTCACCTTGCGCATCTTCTCTTCTAAGACTTCAAGAGGTTGAACCGACTTCAGAGGATCCCTGCGCTGAGCCTGTAGCTGCTTGCCTCGTTGCGCCTTCGCCACAGCAGGAATACACTCCTCTCGATACGCGTTAGACTCCTTTGCAATCGCAAACCTCATCTTCTTGGGAAGAAAATAGAAGAAAATTCCCAAAGGAGACTCGGCGAACGCAGCGGCAGGTCTGGTGGGACCAAAACTTCCGTCGTACAACTCCGCTGCATCTAACACCACATCACCTGTATTCCGTAAAATACAGAATTAGATTTTGATATGATCCGCAATTCTCTATGTGCTGCACTTACCGGAATGATGCTCATCGTAGATATCCCAACCCGTGGCTGTGAGTTGACGCATATCGGTGTCGTCTTGTAGGAACGCGCTGGTGTCGTCATCAAAGTCGCTGTCAGAATCTACCTCGCTTTCATACACTGATCCAGGCTCCGCAGGAACGTCCAATTCGTCTTCAGTACCCAACTCGCTTCTAACATCTCTTGCGGATCCATATCCAACGTTGATATCTTCAGGATCAAATCTTATCAAAGAGCAGCTCTCCACGTAACGCATCCATATAGCTATCACAATCAAATTCATCCAAGCCATTCGCAACACCACTGTCACGTTTCGATTCTTCTTTGGCGTGACCCACGTTTGCCGTGTCGTCAAATTCGGTATCCGACAGAATATGAACACCCGCTAGTCAGCTTGTTCTGTATCCTCCGGAATACATTCAACAACTGATTGCTCTTGATCTGTACCAGTGGTACCAGTATTTTCGACAAAGCGGCCTTCTTCTGTATCATCGACGATCGACCTCGCTTGTTCTGTATCCTCGGCAATAGCCACACGAGCCGGCTGAACTTGTTCTGTATCCCCCGTAATAACACCATCGAGCGACCGATCTTGTTCCGTATCCTCTGCAATATCATCACCAATCAGTCGGACTTGTTCTGTATCCTCCGTAGTAACGTCGACAGTATGTTGATGCTCTGAGCGGGATGGAGAATACTGACGGTCCAAGTTGCCGTCACTTGTGGTGGTGGGGGGGGGGGGGGGATTGGTTCTTGTCGTTTGGCTGCTGTGTACGCTGCAAGCTTCCCCATTGGAGGCCTCATCGGACGTATCATACATTGTTGAGGGGGGCAAGGTACTAGACCCTCACGCAGAGCATACTTTCACAAAGGCATGGGGTCTACACCACACAGGGTTAGAGGGAGTAGTTAGTACTGCTAAACACAACGTACCGATAAAGTAATCAGTGTCAGTCTTGTACTTGTCTAGCTTTCCTTTCACGCCAGGCTTGAGATACGCATGATTGGAGAGGAGGCCTGAAGGGGGCCTTGCCCGCCAACCAGCCTTTTTAGCGACCCCCACAGACGCTTGAACTCCTTTCTGTCGATCGTGTCCGGCATTTCTGGTTGAGTGGTGGAGAGTTTGGGCGGAGAGGAGCTAAAGGTCTTGCATTAGAATTTTCAGACCTCTAGGCCGTTTATATCGGATTTTCTATGCGTTTCAAATAATACCTTTCTATCTCCCCCTCACCGATCGGTAATGATAAAAGCTCCCATGGTGGTCTATACAAACTTATATATGCGGTGTAGTAGCCTGAACGACGCCGCGTCCAAGCTGTTGATTCATTTAAACCTGTATCATGTCATATTACGTATTATACAGATTACGGCGTTCATTGGGTTAATTCCTCGTCTCCACAACTAGCAAGCACAGCTGGTATCACAAACAGTCGAAAGTTCATATGATTTACAAACAAAAACACCGCGATAATATTTTTCAGTAATATATTTTGAAAAATACACCCAGGGTTTTATCCTGAACACTAATTTCGCGGTGTTTATGCAAAAACAACCTGGGTAGTATCATCGTTCTTTATATTATTGTATCTTGTAATATGGACCGGTAAATTTAGTAAGACGGGTACCTTTCTTAAAGAAAATAAGAGCATTCAAATACTGAAATTATTCGAAAAACCACGGTATTTCATGTTGCAGCGGCACGACTACTGAGAGGTGGGATTTTGCCTAAGCTTTTCGAGCGTTTAACGACAACAGCATTATTCTCGAAGTTTTTCGCAGGATGTTTATATAAGTAAACTTTTTTCCCCTGAAACAAAGTCGAAAAAACATTTTTATTTGCAAATCAAAACCATCCATCCAAAATATTAACCAATCAGTATGCATTTGTAGGAAAACATGTGAATGGACGAAGCAGGCACGGATACTCGGGTGAATGCGCTTCCTGCAAGAAGTTGGTGTCCAAGTCGAACGTGGCTAAGCACCGCAAGGTTTGCTGGACGAAGAAGGCACCCAAGACGCGCAAGATAACCAACCGAGAGTCATACCTCCACAACAAGGATAGCATTCTTAACAAGAGTTTCGAACATCGGTTGTATGGCCGTTTCCGCCGTCTCGATGGTACGTTCTCAATTTTAAATAATTGATGTATTATCTCTTTCTTGGCCAATGGGGGCATTTTGCCCCCTTTGGGGG